TCCAGCCCGAGGGCCCGGAAGGCCGGGAGGTGGCGGGGGAGGTCAAGGGCCATCGGGTGCTGGCGCCGGCCCACGTGCCCGCTCAGCCGCTCCAGCAGCAGCGCCAGGGGGAGGAAACGGTTGTGGTCGCCCACGACGTCGAAGTGCGGACCGAGCGAGGTCCGGTGGGGGACGCCATAGCGCGGGTGGTAGAGCAGCGAGGAGAGCGGCACGAGGTCGCGGACGGGGACTTTGGATATCTTGCGAAGGGGACGGCCGCTTCGCATTGGGGGATGGGAATACGGCCCACGCCTCGCTTGGCGTCCAACGAACCCTCCCCTTCCCTTGCCCCCTCCTTTGTTCTCTCTCTCCGCCCCAAAGTGCGATTTGGGGTTGGGAAAATATACTAGGGATACAGTGACTAATAGAAAGTGTAGAAAATGGGAAGGTGGAGCGTTAGTGTGGTCAAAGGCCTCAAGGTAATGTCTTGACGCCCATGCACAGGATAGGCTTGGATTCAACAGGGGTCCAAGTGCTAGAACGGCATGAAACCATTCGGTGAAGGATGAGATCGAGATCCCGTTAAAGTATTTGATAGCAACACCATATGCTCTAAGGCATGGTGTAAAAATACAAGTCTCAACCTTGCCTATTTGTCACTTACTGACCATTAGCCTACAAAGGATATATTTTTTACGAGAGCTAAACAAGCTACCTATTTCAAAAAAAGTTAAATTAATGTGAATATTCAAAATGATGAAAGGATTGCCATAAAACCGCGTGAAATGGAATGGAAATCACCAACAGGTCTAGTCGATTTCGTTGGTTGACAGCTTCCTTTGGAAACACTAGATACCTTTCGATGGACGGACACGTTGAATAGGGAAATCTCACATCTGCTTTGGAAATTTCGAGAAGATTGACAATAACCCGAGGTGAATTATTCCTCCCCCCCCCTTTCTCACCGAATCAGCACCGTAACGCCTTTAGGAGAGCGCATGGTCACTTCCGCTTTAGCGAGCGCATGGTGGTCTTTCCAGTGAAGTTTGGCTTTCGCATCCGAATGGATTTCGGCGTCACCGTGATCAACTCGTCATCCGTGACCCATGAGGCCGATTCCTCAAAGGTATAACGCACCGCCTGGTAGCCACTTCGCCTGCTTTTTAACTTGTCCACCGAGTTGGCGCGCATCCCACCGAGCTGCTCGTTGTGTTTGCAGACATTTAAACCCAGGTTTTGCAATAGGGTCTTCGTGTTCTCACCGATGATCTGCCCATAGTAGACATGATCACCAGGGAGAACGAAGAAATTTCCTTGGGAGGAGACCCCTGAGAGGGCCCAGTCGGTGACATCACCATTTTCGACCGAAATAAGAGCGCCGGTCTCGCGCGCGTTCTCCCCTGCCGCTAAGGGTTTATAGGAGTCGAAGTTGTGGTTCAGGACCCCGTCCCCGCTGGTCATGGTGTGGAACTTGAGCGGAAGACGCGCCATGAGGCGTACCGGCATCACACACTCCAGCACCACCCGACCACCCGAAACCGGTTCGATTTCGCCGATTTCGGCCATTCGCATACTCAAAAACGAGACGATCGGGGAGATGAGATCCTCCTTAAACTCGAGCGTTAGGCGCTCGTATGGCTCACACTCCGCGCCGTTGACGAGCTTGGTGATGATTTGGGGGGCCTGGATTTCGAATTCATACCCCTCCCGACGCATGTCCTCGATAATGACGGAGAGGTGAAGTGGGCCGCGCCCCCGCATGGTGATCTGCGAGGTGCCCAGTCCGCTCAGTTGGAGGGCCGTGTTCACCAATGCCTCCCTTTCCAGGCGCTTCTGAAGGAAGTGAATTCGGCTCAGGCCCTCATCGCACTCCTTTCCTTTCCACGGGGCCTCACTCTCCTGGAGAATCAAACTGTAGGTGGGCTCATCCGGCTTTTGGTATGGAAACAACTTTACCTTGCCCTCCGACCCGATCGTGGAGCCGATCTGGAGTGGGATTTTTTGCTGAATCGGCTCTTGCAGTGTGATGGCGCAGATATCGCCAAAACTGGCGGAGGCCACGCTGTCGGTGTGCACCCCGCGGTATAACTCGATTTTGTTGACGAGCGCGTTGACCTGCCGGTCCTCGAGTGCGACCGTGACGACGTCCCCGACGTGGACGGCGCCCTGAAAAATGCGCCCGATCGCGATTTTTTCGCCCCCCGCCTTTTGCACGTCGATTTGCGCGACCAAAATCTGGAGTTCCTGGCCGTCCTCCGCCTTGGGCGGCGGGACGATCTGGAAGATCGTGCGAAAAAGCGGGTCCAGCGAGCCGCCTTTTTCCGGGGTTTGGTTCATATAGCCCGAGCGCCCCGAGCCGTACATAAAGCAGAGATCCAACTGCGAGTCGTTCGTCGCGCAGTCGAGGAATAAATCCTGGATGTCGTTTTCCGTCTTCTCAATGCAGCTGTTGTCCTTGTCGATTTTGTTAATGCACACAATCGGCGTGAGGTTCAGCGCGAGGGCCTTCCGCAGAACATAGCGGGTCCCCGGGCGAATCCCCTCCTTGGCGTCCACGAGAAGAATAAACCCCTCCACCAACTGCAGCGCGCGCTCGACCTCGCCGGAGAAATCCAGATGCCCGGGGGTATCCACGATGTTAATCCGCTTCGCCGCGTTGGGGTCGGTTTGGGTTAAAAGGACGGCGGTGTTTTTGGCCAAAATGGTAATCCCCCGCTCGCGTTCTTGGTCTTTGGTGTCCATCACGCGATTGTGCGCGTTCGCTACCGTCCCGGACTGGCTGAGCATGCTGTCCACCAGCGTTGTCTTGCCGTGGTCGACGTGCGCGATGATCGCGACATTGCGGGTATTCTCGTTGGTGTGGAGCCCACGACAAAAAAGGGGGCCCACCCACGAAAAAGGACAAATAAACCGCCGCATTGCAAAATTACACGTAAAGTCTTTCGGATTAATAATAATAATAATAAACAAAAAAGACCTAGGTGAATCGATACACAATCTTGTCTTGGTAAAAAATCAAAGGAAGGGGTCGCAGAGGATAAAGGGAAATTGTTAGCCGGCATACGACTCGCCAGAAGGGTGGTGACGAGTTCGTATCCGTTCTTCTGCACCAAACCGGCTGAATACTTCCACACAATAATAATGATAATATAAAGATGGAGTGTTTATCCATAAGATGTATTTTTCTTTTAAGCGTCTGATAGTTAAAACCAATTATCCGTAAAACAAAAAACAATAGGAACAGCAACAAACACTGAAATTAATACTCCAAGTCAATCATTGCGGGGTCCACCAGAAGCTCTTTTATCGGAATAACTTCCCGCGTCCCATCTGGCCAGGTTCGGCTCACTATCATGGGAATCTTTCCCTGCAAAAGTTCCATCTTGGCCATCATGATGGGATCCACTGAGGATGAAAAGGGATCCAGGCAGTGCGCAGCGTTCGCGTAAAGATCCAACCCAGCCTCCGAGTTATTGGAAAACTTAATCGCAGTCCCACTCACAATTTCCCGTGCCCTTTCGCCCACAATCCGCGCGATTTCGAACTTCGTCAGGTAAAGGCTGCTTTTGCGTTCTTCAATGGGTGTTATAAATGTCGGCGAGGACGACGTGTCGGTGGCGGGCTTGAGTCCCGAAACCTCGGATTGCATTAAGTGGGGATCCAGAATTTAAAGCTTGAGCCTTTGTATTTGGCATGAAAGATTACTTTTAATGGGAAGGAGAGGGGGAGGAAGAGAGAAACTGTGGTGTGAGGGGAAAAAAATACAACAATATAAACATCCCAATGGACAATATCGCTTACATCCGTTCTTGGTGGAAGCGTTAGTGGTTTATAAACCCTTTAGTCGTAAATCCACCTAATAGGGGGTATTCTCACAGGATTCGATTAGTTTGGTAAAGGATAAGGGGTTTAATCCAATAAATACACTCCGCCCTCCTCCCCACGCCGTGCAAAACCATCCGTGGAGGAGGAGAGGTCAGTTGATTGTTTTGGCCCCGGGTTTCTCGTCCCCCGTCAACAAGGCGGATACGCCATCAACCGCAGAAGAAAGCGCGAATTCCTCCAGCGGCGAGAGGATGACGGAGGAGAAAATTTTCTGATGATCAGACCTTTTTTGTGCTGAATTTCTTCCCATGCGAGAGAGACATTGCCGGGAATTGGGCAGTATAGTTTTCTCAAGATTGCGAATGGCCCACGGCCACGAATTACTCTCTTTAGTCTGCTTCGCATCCACGCAATCCTCCGTAAGGATGAGCTTATTGCGGTTGTCGTAGACCAGCAGCCTCATTTTTCCCGCGGATCGATCTCGGACGATAAAAAGGCGAAAGAAGTTCAGTGCGACGATGAGGGGATCGATAAACTCGGACTTTCCGGTTTTAATGTTTTGTATAAAGGCGAGCATCGCATTGACAAGGCCACGTGGCATATCACTTCGCAAAGAGGTGGAAATCGCCGCGTGGGTTGCCTTTGGCGAAAGGTCCCATTCCTTCAAGAGGCTATCCAAAAGCACGCGCGCGACCGACCCAAAAGGGGCCAATAAAAGCATCCTCAGATGTGTCGAAATCCGGGCCGATTCCGCCATGCATTTTAGGACTTCCAGCGTTAAAAAGTGACTTAGATTGCGGTGAAGAGGGTTCGGACACATGACGGAGATGCTCACGAGCTGTTTAAGGATTTCGAAAAAAATTCGGTACTGCTCGGTGCGATAACTCGATGATGCTTCCATTTGATCCATGGGATGGGCGAGATCACGTCGCTCGCCCAGAAATTCGATGCTGTACTTTGGGATGCCCCGAATGGACTCTCCGAGGAAGAGCAGCACCCCAAGTAAGGCCGCCGCGGAAGTGCACTTTAGCGAGATTGAAAGCACACGGCTGATCGTAAAAAAAAACGAAAGAGGCGAGCTGGAGATCAACAGGGGGACCTCCTTCCCGGAGGTCATGAAGGAGATGAGTAAGTAAAAAAGCCCAAGATTTACCAGGGTGGTGTTATCATTGCCATGGGTTGGGGTCCTCGGGGCCTCCGAAAAGTCCCACAGCTTTAGCCGCTCGAGGGTACGCTCGCGCTCTTGCCAGAGCGTCAAAGTCTTGAAAAAGGGTGGCCGGCTTCCCTCCTCCCAGTCGTTGAAGATGTAGTGATCGCCATCGTCCTCGGCGTCAAGGTAATCTACCTCGTCGGAAAGGAGCAGCAATACAGCCTCCGCTGGGCTCTCGACCTCCAAGACCCCGCATAGTAGTTTGAATATCTTTTCCCGAAGCCCCCCCCGCGCATCCGAGGAAACCACAAACCCCTCAGAAGGGAGGATCACTTCCTTTAACGCATCGGTGGAGGCCGTTTGATTGTTTATGCCCCGGTAGGCGTCTTTAATGCGCTCCCCAACGGCAACCCCGCCGATGGTGAGGGGGCGACAGAGGGTCATCGAGCCCCACATCGCCCCGTACACCGCCACTGCCCCGCGCGCGCACTCCTCGCGCCGCATCGAGGAGTCCGCCAAGTCCTGAACTAAATCCACCATCAAACGAAAAATAAATTCCCGATTCTCCAAGGGGCCGATGGGATTCGCCGCGGATTCCTCCATGGATTCCCCCACGGAAGGGCCCGCCTCGACGGTCTGCGGACTCGCATCGCGAAGGACCACCCCGGGGAGGAGGTCCTTGTTGAACCCCTCGAGGATATCCCGAGCCCAGGGACACATCGAAAGTTCGACGGAGCCCCGCTCGCGAAGTATCTCTTGCGGGGAGAGGGAGCATTCGGCGATCTTTTTAAGCCGCCGCCGCATATTGGCAAACAACACCTGGCGATAGGAATTAAAAAGCAAAATTAAATAGCCCCCCAACGCGTAGGGCCGGACGGCGCCGGAAAGCGCAATTAAAATCGACAAAACTTCCCTGGGATCGACTTCGGCAGGGTAACGTTGCGGCGGGGGGCTATCCTGGGGCCAACGGGAGAGCACCTCGGCGATGCTAATCCGCTGCTCCTCCGGTTCTAAGGAGGACAAACAAGAGGGCAACTTGCGGAGATACTCCGCCGCGAATGAACGCCAATCCTCCTCGGAAAGCGTGAAAAGGAGTTGGAGAATGTCATTTGGGTCGAGGGAATCGGTATCGGACCCCCCAGCTTGCATTGCGTTTGTATGGTATGGTTGATGCGCGCTATACCACACTAACTTTCATGGCGCAAACACAAAAAGTCAAAGTAAACAAGGAAAAAAAAAGGAGGATTAGTAAATTTTAGGAATACCCATCATAAAGAAGATTGTGGATCGCTCCACTACCAAACATCCCACAAAGCGATAAAAATCATTAATGTATTTCATACAAACACAGGCAACTTTTCCCTGGTTGGGCAGATTTTTGACTCATCAAAAGTTTTGTGGACCGAGATTAACACTTTTTGGAATAGCGTAGGTTATTTCGTGCTGGAGCTTAGTTAAAGCGCTGGTCAGAGCCTCATTCTGTACTTTTAGCTGTTCATTTTCACTCAGCATATGCGAGAAGTCAGGTTTGGTAAAATGAGTCTGTTTGCTCTCAAGCAAATCATACCTGGCCTGAAGGTTCAGTAATTTCTTTTCAAAAGATTTCATTTGCTCCTTGTGAATTAAATCATCATTTTTTATTTGCTTGCGTTGGGCGTCAACGACCTTTTTTAATTTAATGTTGTCTCCTTCAAGGCTTGTTATGCGTGCCTTGCACGTCTCTCTGAGATCTTTGACAGATGATGTGATCTCACAGACGGCTTTTTCGATAGTGGGATGGTCCGATCGAACTCGCCGTCCAGGCATGAAAACCCCCTCTGAAGGTTGCAAAAAAGCCATACATTCCTCAACATCGTGAAATACTTCATTGAGTCTTTTGAGTGAATGCCTGATTTCAGCTTTGTCGCCCTCAGAGTAAAGGCGTGTGGTTTGAGTGCTTACAGAGGAGGTCGTAATAGGTAAAAATGAGGAAACTGTCGAAGAGCCCAAACGCGGCCGATCGCCATTATTGCGATTGCCATCAACCATATCACCACTACGGCCCCGAAGTTGTGATTCCACCCTTTCGAGCGCTAACGACAAATTCGCATTCCGGGCAGCCGCAGCTTCCACCTCTAATGTCAAAAGTAAAATATCCGCATCCGACATGGTTTATCTTCTTCTTTGTGTGTGTGTGTGTGTATGTGTGTTGGGGCTAATGGTGAAATGAAAACGGTACGGAAGGTGGCTAAAGGGAAGATAAGACCAACGTATTATTGCCCACGGCCCTTTTGGGGGGGCAAGCCAGCAATACGAGCCCAAAAACAAACTAAGGCATTAGGGAGGAAGAGAACAGGGATTCATGATCATTCACGAAAGGAGGTCAGACGAAACCTAAAAAAAAAACGTCAAACAATGCCTCCCCCCCCTCCCCCCTCCTCCTCAAAAAAATTATGCCAAACTACACGCAAGGACGGACTACATAATCTGAGAGAACTGACTATAAACCGTCTGGCGCACCTTAAACATCTCCGGCGTTGCGATGGAGGAGAGGGTGAGATTGCCGCCCGCGCCTTTGCGCACGCACACGCCCTCCTCGAAAACCAGCATAGGTGCCTTTCGGTGAAAATCGCTGATCAGCCCCCCATTCCGCCGCGCGGCCTCGCGCAATTGCGTGAGATTAAGACTCCCGACAAAAAACGACCCGCTCGCCAGGCCCTGGGCCTCGCGGGCCTGCGCGCTGGCCTGCATCTTGGCCGGGGGAACCGCCGTGAGCATGAGGGTCGTGGGCCCCTCCCAGCGCCCCCGCTTGGCCTCGGGCGGGTCCAGCTCCGCGGTCTGGGCGGGCCCGTGCAGGAGGCCGTCGACCCATCCCACCTCCCAGACCCCCCTGGCGTGGGTCTCCTGGACCGGGCAGAGCCCCCCTGGGGCCTCCGGCGTGAGCGCGGGGTCGAGCAGGACGGCGTAGGAGAGGACCTG